TAAAAGTACTGTCTCAGAGGCATACACTAAGGTGTTAGTGCATGCATCAGTAGGAAGAGCAGTGCCTGGAACATACATAAATGATCGCTATTATCATCACATTTGACCTCTTCTTTCTACTCCTCCTTCTTATTGTTGTTCAGTTGACAAATCATCAAATTTAATTTGGACTGTCAGCCTATAGTTCTGTAATGCTTCTTAGCTCCTTCTAGAGGTAAATTTCTGCATTTGATGCGCATGGAATTCTTTTTTTTTTTTTTGCAGTAATTCTGTATGAATCTCCTAATATATTCCTTGTGCTGAGAGGTAGACTCAATGTCTCATTTCCTAGATATGGAAACTGAATCTCCAAAGGGAAAGCTATTTGCCCAAGATCACAGACACACTGGTTAAACCAATAAACAACTAAAAGCTTCTGATCATTGCTCCAAAGTTTGTTCCACTCAATGAAGAGTTCAAGGATGTTGACCTTGGGTATTGCTATGACTTGAGTATCCTCCATCCACCCACAGGAAGATATGAATGATCTGTGATTCCAAGTATCTTTGATAAGCATCTTTCCTTTCTCTCAAAATTGCAAGCCCTTCAAAAAATTGTGACTTGACTACCTTGGAATCTTCACTGTATGCCCCATACTTGGTTCAAACTGTTGGGGGACAAGAATTACTACTTATAACACCTGAATTATTAGGGGCAGATGTTCAGTACATGGGACTGTGTTGGAGACTCTTTGTCCCCGATCACGGATTATTGGGGGGCAAAACAGACAGGGTCTGAAGGTGGGAATGGCGTCGGTGAGCAGAGATTCCTAGAAAAGGGGGGAAAGAGGAAAAAAAGGGGAGCAAGCGCGAGGAAGACACAGGAATGGGAGGTGGGAGTAAGTCTTCCTGCTCTGCCTTCAGCAGAGGTTTATTTTATACATTTCAGGCAGGCAGAGAGATGACATTAGCATATGAAATGGGCTGAGATCACAATCACCTTTTTTTTCTAAGAATAGTCTGGGGTCGTTTTGACTTTTAGTTGAGATTATAATATTTTAAAATCAATCTATCAAGGCTACAACAGGTACATAGATTTTCAAAGTTTAAGACTAATATTACTATATTTACCACAGTGAAGATTAACCAAATAAAGTCCCTTAAACCTTATCTAGTACTTAACGGCTTTCATTCTCATAGAGACATCCTAGGAGATAAAGAAAAGTGAGGGCAGAAGAGGAAATTTCTTGTAAATCAAATTACAGTAAAGTTCTTTGAAAAACTTGTTAGAAAGTTTAAGTGAGTTTCCTTGAAGTCTAGATGGTAGAAAACCTTATTACCTCTGAATAAGTGACTTGGGTGAATTTCTACATCTAAAGACTAGATAGTAGAAAGCTTGAGTGGTTATTTAGAAACTGAATAGAAGGCTATGTGAGATAGTAGAGGGATCGGCCCAAAGCAAGGCCTGAAAGCTGCCACTAGACTAAAGCACCTTCTGGCCGGGACCCATGAAAAAGGGTCAGAAATGGCCAGACAAATCTGGGAGGAAAAGAGCAAAGTCAAAATCAATATAAACACTGCCACAGTCACCTCCCTACAGGTATCTCACCCACATCTGCCGTAACCAGTCCAGGGTCAGGAAACAAGCCCGGTTTCTTCATCACATGCTTGCTGCTCCATGTGGCTTCCTCAGGTCTCCTCCTTCTCCAACCTTTTTCATTTCCTTCTCTTCTCTCTCCTCTTCTCTCCTTTTTCTCTGCTCAGCTCCACCCTCCTTCTGGGTGGGGCAGGGAACCTGGAACTTCCCTTTTTCCTAGGGATCACCCTGTTACATAATCACTTTTGACTTTAAGAGGAATTTCTCACCCTGGTGCAGTACTTGCTTGTCAGGGCCAGGTAGTGCCTTATGAGGCGGAGGCAATCCAATTGTAAGCTGAAAGTTGCTCAGAATATTTTGATATTATGATTATACAAAAAAGGGAGGTCATAACATAAGTTAGCGTGGAAAGTCTGATTTTTCAGAGCATTTCCCCTCCATCCATACCATGTCTGTCGACAGAGGTTGCAGGGCTTGTGTCAGGACTGATAACACTTAAAAAAAAAGAAGAAAAAATATGAGCATTTCATAAAAAGAGACCCAACATTACCCAATTCAGGCAACCTGCCCAACCTCTCCCTGCAAGTATTTATCCATAGTAGAATTTTTAATGTGACACAAAAATGTAAGCTATAGGACTTACATGGAGAAGAATACTTAGTCCTGCTGAGTTTCTTAGCAGGGATAAGTCCAGACCTGAAATATGCTTAGTATCAAAGGGAAGGGGAGGGAAAAGGACAAGGGGACAGGGCGGGGG